TTAACAAGTACAAACGAATGTTACCCGTAATTAATCCGATGAAAAAGTGACTTTGGTTATAAACGTCAATCGCCCCAAAGCTAATCCGATTATCGCCTGTTGGTTCAGCGCATTAATCTGGGTACCAAAAAGTTATAATTTTCTGGTTTGGAAATGTAATTTACGGAATTGAATCACTCAGTGTTTTGTAAAGTTTATTGAATTGACGACACAGTTATTGTATTAAAGTGAAGTGGGTAAGAAGCGGTATCACCTCTGTATCTCACCACGGTGATGCGGCAGCATAACCGGCTGATAATGGTGTGGGTTATCGAGATAAAGAAGATCATTTAAAACAACGACCTATTTGTTTTCATTCAAAATACTTTCCTCGTGTCTGAAGTTGCGAACTCGGTCTAAACTGATTCTAACGTAATATAATGTGACTTGTATATTCCGTTTTATCGTAACTATTCTTCATCTGGAGAACTGTGTATGTGACAGTTGTTCCCCGAGCCTGTAGACTCGAGATATTTATAGTAAGTGTGACAGGTGTTCCCTGGACCTGTACTCTCAGGATCAGTATAGTAAGTGTGACAGGTGTTCCCTGGACCTGTAGACTCGGGATATATATAGTACGTGTGACAGGTGTTCCCTGAGCCTATATACTCGGGATATGTATAGTAAGTATGACAGGTGTTCCCTGGACCTGTAGACTCGGGATATATATAGTACGTGTGACAGGTGTTCCCTGAGCCTATAGACTCGGGATCTGTATAGTACGTGTGACAGGTGTTCCCTGAACATGTATACTCGGGATATGTATAGTAAGTGTCACAGGTGTTCCCTGAACCTGTACCCTCGGGATATGTATAGTAAGTGTGACAGGTGTTCTCTGGACCTGTAAACTCGGGATCTATATTGTAAGTGTAACAGGTGTTCTCTGGACCTGTAGATTCGGGATATGTATAGAACCTGTGACAGGTGTTTCCTGAGCCTGTAAACTCGGGATATGTATAGTAAGTATGGCAGGTGTTCTCTGGACCTGTACCCTCGAGATCTGTATAGTAAGTGTGACAGGTGTTCCCTGAACATGTAGACTCGGGATATGTATAGTAAGTATGGCAGTTGTTCTCTGGGCCTGTACCCTCGAAATCTGTATAGTAAGTGTGACAGGTGTTCCCTGAACATGTAGACTCGGGATCTGTATAGTAAGTGTGACAGGTGTTCCCTGAGCCTGTAGACTTGGTATATGTAATGTAAGAGTGACAGGTGTTCCCTGGACCTGTAGACTTGGGATCTGTGATGTAAGAGTGTCAGGTGTTCCCTGGACCTGTAGACTTGGGATTTGTATAGTACGTGTGACAGGTGTTTCCTGAACATGTATACTCGGGATCTGTATAGTACGTGACAGGTGTTCCTGGACCTGTTGACTCGGAATCTGTATAGTAAGTGTGACAGATGGTCTTTCGACCTGTAGACTCGGGATCTGTATAGTCAGTGTTACAGGTGTTCCCTGGACCTGTAGACTTGGGATTTGTATAGTACGTGTGACAGGGGTTCCCTGAACATGTATACTCGGGATCTGTTTAGTACGTGACAGGTGTTCCCTGGACCTGCTGACTCGGAATCTGTATAGTAGGTGTGACAGGGGTTCTTTCGACCTGTAGACTCGGGATCTGTATTGTAAGTGGAACAGGAGTTCCCTGGACCTGTAGACTTGGGATCTGTAATGTAAGAGTGGCAGGGGGTTCCTGGACCTGTAGACTTGGGATTTGTATAGTACGTGTGACAGGTGTTTCCTGAACATGTATACTCGGGATCTGTATAGTACGTGACAGGTGTTCCCTAGACCTGTTGACTCGGGATATGTATAGTACGTGACAGGTGTTCCCTGGACCTGCTGACTCGGAATCTGTATAGTAGGTGTGACAGGTGTTCTTTCGACCTGTAGACTCGGGATCTGTATTTTAAGTGTAACAGGTGTTCCCTGGGCCTGTATACTTGGTATATGTAATGTAAGAGTGGCAGGTGTTCCCTGGGCCTGTAGACTTGGGATTTGTATAGTACGTGTGACAGGTGTTTCCTGAACATGTATACTCGGGATCTGTATAGTACGTGACAGGTGTTCCCTGGTCCTGTAGACTTGGGATCTGTATAGTACGTGACAGGGGTTCCCTGGACCTGTAGACTTGGGATTTGTATAGTACGTGTGACAGGTGTTCCCTGAACATGTATACTCGGGATCTGTTTAGTACGTGACAGGTGTTCCCTGGACCTGTTGACTCGGAATCTGTATAGTAGGTGTGACAGGTGTTCTTTCGACCTGTAGACTCGGGATCTGTATAGTAAGTGTTACAGGTGTTCCCTGGACCTGTAGACTTGGGATCTGTATAGTACGTGACAGGTGTTCCCTAGACCTGTTGACTCGGGATATGTATAGTACGTGACAGGTGTTCCCTGGACCTGTAGACTTGGGATCTGTATAGGACGTGACAGGTGTTCCCTGGACCTGTAGACTCAGGATATGTATAGTACGTGTGACAGGTGTTCCCTGGACCTGTAGACTCGGGATCTGTATAGTACGTGACAGGTGTTCCCTGGACCTGTAGACTCGGGATATGTATAGTACGTGTGACAGGTGTTCCCTGGACCTGTAGACTTGGGATCTGTATAGTACGTAAGAGGTGTTCCCTGGACCTGTTGACTCGGGATATGTTAAGTACGCATACTGTATCGGGACAGCTGTGTACGTGATAGGGGCAGTATTAAGGACACGAGTCCACACTATATATCAGCTGAACTGACAAACTGGTTTGTTTACATTGATGAATTATATAATGTTTAGTCCGTCAACGCGGGATTCTCACACGTACGACAACAATACCGGACACTGTAAACACAACTACGAAATCGAAATTCCAAATACACCAATGATACGAGGTAAGATAGGACATTTTGACATTTAGTCTGGCTGGTTAATTCGACGTCTTCAAATTGTCATGTTCACGAGAAATGCAGTAACGATATATAAACATTGTACCGGTACCCGTTATAACTTCAGATCGTTGACTCGCCAGTACGTCTGGGGTTATCTTCTCATCAGGTATACTGATAAAAATTACGTGGAATCTTGATCGTTCAAGAGGCTATTCTCGTGTATATATCAAAATCTACATACAGTAGATAAACAGGTAGTTGTAATTTAGCGGGGACCGATTTGAAAACGTTTGAGTCACTGAACGATACCTCGGTCCGTCCACACGAAGCATCTTTCATTGTTGACAAATTTCCCTCTTTTCCTACGTTACTCTCTCACACCTGTATTTACTTTCTTGTGTCATAACCATTCATTTGCCTGTAAATTAATCAGTCAAACGACGTACACGGCCATGTTTTCTGTTCTATTGATTTGTAACATGTCCACTATATATGGAGCGGCCAATTTATATACATGTATGTGTCCGTAACCTGATGCAAACAAAGACTGACACTTGAGTAGTTCCTCTTTGTGGCATAACGCGTGCTATTTCCCTATAGGTAGCCCTCTTAGTACTTGGAGTACGAGTTAGCTCCCCTCCATCATCTCTACCCCGTCCTTGATAGTGGTGGCGGTGTTTTGGTGGCGGTGTTTTGGTGTCCATTCCCAAAATGGTAATATCATTAAATACGTTTTATGATATCAGTTAGTATTATTTGATACCATATAATCGATTTGATTATATGATAATTCTTTAGATAAAATCTACTCAATTGTATGACCTGTGCAGCATAAATTCGATTTTAATTTCATCCTTTTCGAAGCGAAGTGATAGAAAGGAACTGTAACTTTGTTTGGAGTGCATACTGTAACTCTACATGTTCATTCCTGAAATATCACCAATTAATGTTATTGCAATGATGTCTTGAAATGGAATTTGTGATATCACATATATGAAGACGGTCCACCATCACTACCCCTCCACCATTGGGTCTAGCTCGAGTTTCATCTAGCCCTTACACCAGACCTAGATATTTTGACCGATAGATTACCAGACATCTCAGCGTTGAGAAACCTTCACATAATGGTTATGCAACTATGTTAATGTGATTTTATGGAAATCAAAGCATTTCTATGGGGATTTATTCGGTAAAAAGGCCCAGAACATTGAGCTTTCGTCAATTTTGATATTTCCCATTTTTGGTGTGTGTGGCGTTGTAACAATAAAACAAGTGAAATGAAATGTTGCTAATTATATATAACCTAACCAACTTTTATTTATAATAAAATGTATAAAACACGTTACACAAAGATTTTTATTGAAATGTTATGGATAAAAGGGAATATCTACCAGCTAAAGCCAACATGGCCAGAGTTTCATACAAACAGATTAAAACATTGAACAAAATATACACAATGGCTTTATTTGTTATTTATATAACATTTTACAATCACTTTGATCCTCATGAGAGTTGTCTTCCTCGAAAAAAATCGGATTTTTTTTTATAAATTACATATATACCAAAACTTATCTAAATAAATAAAACTATAATACCAAAATTGTCCCGTAGACTTAATTGTACATATAATTTCATGCGCTTCTTATATGACCTTCTTAAAGTCGTCTGGTCTCTTGTCGATGTCTTCCCGTGAGTCGATTTATGTCTTTGTATCGGAAGTTTTATTTTTGAAGTACACGTGATTACACATTTCTCAGTTAAATCTCGATTTCGAGTGCTGACATGAAATCGTCACGCAAGTGCACTATTGTTTACCCGGTGCTAGGATACTGCTAGTATAGTTGTCCGTTCGATGAGCTTGAGGCTTTGAACCCGTGTGTACAGTTCCTAAGTAGTATAATCTATGGTTTTACGACCTTTGAACCGATGTGCACGGTAACTAGGTAATAGTATATATTGTACAACTACCTTTGACCCAGTGCAGACTGTAACGAAGCATGTCCATCTATCGTGTGATGACCTTTGAACCAATTTATACTCCAACTAGTAGTGTGTTCCCTTTCTGACGACCTTTCACTCAATCTGTATTGTTACGAACTAATACCGTACGGTTTGTTAGGACCTTTGACCCCGTTTGTACCGTTACATATGTATTACATTATGAAATCAAAATTTCTGTTGTTTAGGAATGAGATCCATTCAGGTACTTAAAAGTGTGCTTTTAAAATGCTTGATTTTTATTTAAAGTACAGTGCAATTACGGCACGTAGTTCATATGATAGATCTCTCTGATTCACATATGTCGATACGTTGTGTTATAACGTAACACAGAATCACAAATCATGAAGGAAAAAGCGTGCCTTGCTTTGGCCCCCAAACTCACGATCTGTAAATTAGAGACCGCCCAGTTTTAAATGTCAGCCAATATGCACTCAGTACCATGTGATGCTAATCGAATGGTGTCAGAGGTTTTTAATGTAGGAAATAAGTAAAGGAACTTGAATAAACATGGCTTTAAATCCGTTGTCTTGTTTTACAGACAGCGAAATGGATGACGAGGAAGACATCGCCATTAAGTTGTTTCCTGGATTCCCCGGAAGAAGTTCTAGTGTTCTCGAAAACGAGGCTATAATCGACGAATACTACAACCCACAAATGTTCTTGACTACACCATGTTTCAAAGACGACATGTTTAATGATTACAGCGAGAGTAAAGAGGAAAGGCAACGATACAACCAACCAACTGACAAGGTGCACCATGTGGACCGGATAGACAGTTATTACTGGGGAAGTGTAAGCGATGCAGAGGTGGTTACTTCCGGTATTTCACCACAGGAAGTGAGCACAGTTTGGTCTCCATTCGGTCTTGAACCAGAATTTCAAGACCCGGATTGTGATGGGTTTTCTGATTATTTTGAATTTGAAAACCCTCAAACGCAAAACAAAGTTTTAAACAATGACAATATTGATATTATTCTAGAGCTACAGAAATTCGAAAATAGTTTTGGATTTTCTGTGCGCGGTGGCTTTGACGAGGAGTTTATGCCTACGGTAGACGACATTTTCAGAGGTAAGTTTTATCTTATAATTAATTATGATGTAGGACGTTAGTCTGCCTACAAGGTGTATAGTTACGGATACAAGATGCAACACCGCAACTCCCAAATAACATCCTGTCGAAAGCAGATTATTAACTCGAAGATAACGAACAGATATTAAAAGTTAAATATACCTGTACAGACAAAAGTAAACTTATTTCTTGATTATAACAAATAAACAGCCCAATATAAATCTCAATATCATTTCAACCTTGTTATAAGGAACATATGTGTTCAAGCATCCGATGTACATGTCATCTTACGATGTGTACAATAGACAAGTTCATACGAGCTATAAATGGACCAGTCCACAGATACTAAGTCACACAAGCCGTACAATGTACCATTTCATTCATATAAGTCTATTATCAATCGAAAAAGTAAAACAGCACTTGTTCTTGTAAACAACGGATTAGTACCAACACAGAGAGTTACAGGGAACGGATGTCGGATTACCGAAGTATTACTCAGGCTCCATCCAATTACACGACCAATATATGGAAACCGAGATGAGATGGGTGACATCCGTGGGCAAGGTCTTATGCATCACAACAGACAAGACTCGGAGAACTCACGAAATATGGTTAAAATCTTGTTACGTCCAATTAGTGCGAAGGATTTTTTATGCTTGTTACGTCTGCAGCAATCCATCACTGGCCGTTCATTGGCTCATTTCATCGTAACCGGGCAGACGGACGCGTTGTAGATGACTTTGGTCTTTTTCTGAAAAACAAAATGTAATCAAAACATTTTAACTTTGTTTCATTGAAGCTATCCCTTAATCTTGTTTTCAGATATAATTACGTCATTTCCGTAGTCCTTTTACTGATCCGTGATCGTGCACGCCTGGATATTACGTAAAGATTTTGTCTAAATACCGCAATACCTTGTTGCTTGTGCTGATATTTAGCTTGGTCAGCTTGATGTATTAACACCACTCTGGGACGTCTGGTTCTAGTGACGACCCTGAAGGAATAGGTTTTTATATAGAATAAATACGTGTATATGTAACCAATGTCCTAAATGGTAGTGTCGACTTTCTTTTGTTATAAACGAGTTACGTTGTTACATGCATATACATATATAGCTTATGAAAATCTCTTTCCATATATTTAATACCACTAATATATCAATGATAAATGTAAAAGGGGATAACTCAATCATATATGAGCTTTGCATTTTAAAACATTGCTCGAGTGTCTCCCAGAAAAATCCTTTCCGCCTACTAGAAATCTCTTCTTCCGTGTGCATTCCTCCCCCGCCAACTTCTAAAAATTCCCAATATATCTCTTCTACTTACCTCTAGAAAATATATCTATTTATAGATCTCCTCCGTCAACCACTAGAGAATCCCCATATATCTATTCCGCTAACCACTAGAGAATACCCATATATCTATTACGATAACCACTAGAGATCCCCATATATCTATTACGATAACCACTAGAGAATCCCCATATATCTATTACGATAACCACTAGAGAATCATCAATATACTACTTAATAAATGTATCACCTACCAGTAGCATGATGAATTCATTATCATAGGTTGTCAGTGTGAGAAGAAGTTGAGAACGACTTGAGAATAATAAAATCTTTTACCTGTAACTGAGCGAGATCGGGTTATTTCGGTCGAGGGTTAAGATTCTGTAACAAAATCCCAACCGAGGCGTAAGCCGAGGTTGGGATGTTACAGAATCTTAGCACGGGACTGAGATAACCCGATCTCGCTCAGTTACAGATAAAAAAAAAAATTCTCGTACCTTTAAGCTCGAAAAGAACTATTCAATTTTGCTAAAAGCTGCAAGTTTTGGGCCTCAAATGATAATGACCTTTTCACTTCTAAAGCTTCATTTGAATGCTTCCGCGTAAAAAATGTAGACCGTCCTTACATAGATTACAACGTATTTCACAGTGTAGATTATATTTTATCTACAACATCATATATCTAACAACATCAAAACTATACATATAACGACAAAACAGAACATGTATAATGCAAATTGTCAATTTCAAGCAGTTAACGCGCGGATGAATACATCGCAGTGTAAAATTTCCGACTCCACCAAACAACTAGAAAATCACCATATATCTCCTCCACCAAACAACTAGAAAATCACCATATATCTCCTCCACCAAACAACTACTACAGAATAACCAAATATCTCCTCCACCAAACAACTACTACAGAATAACCAAATATCTCCTCCTCCAACAACTACTACAGAATAACCAAATATCTCCTCCCCCAACAACTACTACAGAATAACCAAATATCTCCTACACCAACAACTACTACAGAATAACCAAATATCTCCCCCCCCAACAACTACTACAGAATAACCAAATATCTCCTCCACCAAACAACTACTACAGAATAACCAAATATCTCCTCCACCAGCAACTACTACAGAATAACCAAATATCTCCTCCACCAGCAACTACTACAGAATAACCAAATATCTCCTCCACCAGCAACTACTACAGAATAACCAAATATCTCCTCCACCAGCAACTACTACAGAATAACCAAATATCTCCTCCACCAACAGCTACTACAGAATAACCAAATATCTCCTCCACCAGCAACTACTACAGAATAACCAAATATCTCCTCCACCAAACAACTACTACAGAATAACCAAATATCTCCTCCACCAGCAACTACTACAGAATAACCAAATATCTCCTCCACCAGCAACTACTACAGAATAACCAAATATCTCCTCCACCAACAGCTACTACAGAATAACCAAATATCTCCTCCACCAGCAACTACTACAGAATAACCAAATATCTCCTCCACCAAACAACTACTACAGAATAACCAAATATCTCCTCCACCAACAACTACTACAGAATAACCAAATATCTCATCCACCAATCACTAGAGATTTCCCATATTGCTCTCTACTAACCACTAAGGAATCCCGATATAGCTCATATATCACCCACTAGAAAATCACCATATATATGTTCCATCACCCACAAGAAATTTTCATTAATCTGTTCCATCACCCATTAGAAATTTCCATAAATCTGTTCCATCAACCGCTAGAAAATCTCCATATATTTGTTCCACGAACCACTAGAGAATCCCTATATTGCTCCTCCACGAACCACTAGAGAATCCCCATGTTGCTCCTATATCAACCACTAGAAATTTCCATATATCTGTTCCATCAACCACTTGAAATTTCCATAAATTTGTTCCATCAACCACTAGATAATCCCCATATATTTGTTCCTATTGCTCCTCCACAAACCACTAGAGATTTCCTATATTGCTCCTATATCAACCAATATATCTGTTCCGCCGACAACCAGAGAATCCCCACAGGGCTCCTCCACCAACCACCAGAGGGACCGTCCATTTCATTGCTTATTGCTTGGCTACTCCATAAAGAATCTCAAATAAGTGTCCTAATTTACAATATTCACGTTGACACATCAGAAAACTTGTCCACAGCTTGCCTATGCCCCATTAAATAACCCTGCCCGTGTGTGCTCCCCCTGTACCTCACTCCCTCCCCCTTCCCATCGTCCGCTAGAGATCCCCGCTCGAGTGGTTCTAAATGATGTGTATATTACCGACGGCAGAGGTGGAAAGGCTAATGTTGACTTCCTGATCAATACTGGATATAGCGGTTTACTGTACGATAAATGTACTTTTTCGTATCGGAGCACATCACGAATTGATAAATATTGGTAGATATTTGGCAGAGGAGAATTCCGCAACCTTGAAGGTCCGTTCCTGTCTCAAAAACATCGTACCATAATATTGATGTGTGCATAGGTGGTGGGCACGTCTATCAAAAAAAAAATGAATATATAAAACTAGAAAGGTGAAGAACTCAGCCCCTACCAGCGGCTGGCAAAATTGAGGTAATTTTGTTTGAAGTGTCACAGAAATTTTATCCGCTAAAATCCTTCCCACAGCGTAGTCTCGATCGAAAGTAGGGACATCAATCTTTAAATAACACCCATTATATATCTTCAAAACAGTGTAGTTATTTCGTAAGCAGTTTCGAAGCTTGCAAAAATCACCGATTTGTGTTACCTCGGACACGATCCGGAACATTTTTTCGAAACAAATTCTTCATTCGGTACACAGAATAGCGGACGACGTAACATTAATAAACCATGGTATACTCAAAGATAAGGTCAAAACAAACTTGCTTACTTGTTTTACGCACCACTAAATTTCTCCTCTCGTGTCCCTCAAGTATTTTCTCCGCAAGATTTCACATCAGCCCTCCTTCGTCCACCATCTTGGAGAATTTTATAATATGCAAGCTGATTGGTCGAGCTATTTTCGTCTATTTTTAACCGGCCGTTAGACCAATCAGCTTGCGTGTTACATATTATAAAATTCTCCAAGATGGTGGACGAAGGAGGGCTGAATGTGAAATCTTGCGGAGAAAATACTTGAGGGACACGAGAGGAGAAATTTAGTGGTGCGTAAAACAAGTAAGCAAGTTTGTTTTGACCTTATCTTTGAGTATACCATGGTTTATTAATGTTACGTCGTCCGCTATTCTGTGTACCGAATGAAGAATTTGTTTCGAAAAAATGTTCCGGATCGTGTCCGAGGTAACACAAATCGGTGATTTTTGCAAGCTTCGAAACTGCTTACGAAATAACTACACTGTTTTGAAGATATATAATGGGTGTTATTTAAAGATTGATGTCCCTACTTTCGATCGAGACTACGCTGTGGGAAGGATTTTAGCGGATAAAATTTCTGTGACACTTCAAACAAAATTACCTCAATTTTGCCAGCCGCTGGTAGGGGCTGAGTTCTTCACCTTTCTAGTTTTATATATTCATATTTTTTTTTGATAGACGTGCCCACCACCTATGATGTGTGTAAAGAAAAAATACCATTAGCATTCAACAAGCAGGGTACAAGATATCGGTAATATCAGACTAAAATTCTTATTAATTAGCCTGCATGTGTTATTTTTATTTAAATTTAAGCCCATGAGAGGATTGCTTAACCATTTGCACATATGCTGTTGTGTAGGAAGTTTAATTGGGTATTATAGGCGTTTAGATCAAGTATGTTTAACGATGATATATATAACAAAGCATCGACATTGCAGAATACTGTACATGAAATATGTATTTTGGAAAGTACTCGAGTCACAACACTTCCCCTCACAACTACCGTTAGCTTGTAGCTTGTGGTTCTGATATAGTAGGACACGTGATTTCGTATAGGGAGTGCTTTCGTGGAGCCATAAAATCGCTCAAACAAGAAACAGCCGTTAAAGTCCTACCAAGTTACAACTGCAACAAATACATATGTCGTCTGCAGCATGGACGCCAGTTATTTTTAAAATTACGTTATGAATAGTACTTAAAATATAACCCTGTGCTTTGTTTAGAATAAAAATAGTCATTCATCATTTACAAAAATAATCTTGTCGAAATAATCTCAAATATAATGAACAACAGCGTTTTTGACTCGATGCTTTAAGTTTACCGTTCACTGCCATTATTATGGGTGACTTGAAGATTCAAATACTTATCATTTCCTGAGAAAAAAACAACCTTTCCTCGAGTTTGGAAATCTGCAAGGCTGTTTAGATATGTCGAATTTGTTCTGCATAAACTTTTTTACGAAAAATAAGAAGTTTGTGGGTATATGAAATCAAGTTACCCACTAAAACAAAACCATGTCAATGGAACCTCACCTGCATA